TACGGGCGATTGGCGTTGAACAACGAAAGCAGCAAGCCCTTCCAGGTATGTGTTTTTGCAACGAGTTGTGTGGTTGAAGAGCTTGAATGTCGTACAAAATTCTTGCATAAAAAACGTTTTACGTTAATTGAGAAAAACCAATCGTGACGGAAATAACGTGGAATAAAAATTAAGCGTGGATAAAATGGGGAAAGATCCCTGCGAGCGCGGCTCATAACGACATGAAATTAGGGCAGCCGCTGCGCGACCTAGGGTTACTGTCACAAGAGCACCCTATGCGCGTGCGCGACTAGGTTCTAGTCTTTCTCACCACAATGTAATCTTTCAAAACCACTTACATTAAGGACCTTGTTTTTCTTGTACGCGATTGGAGCTGCCCGGATGAGGCTGACTTTGGATTTGGTGGCGGTCATGAGGTTTTGGAGGAATTTTTGAGGGTACAAAATCTTGATTAAATCTTGACCCAATATCAACCTTAGATCCCGGCTGGGCAGCCCGTGGAGCTCGGGAAAGTTCGCAGAAACATCCGAGATTGCTTCCGGCAAATTCGGTGCTTCTTGATGCCCTACCCAGGAGAAGCGGTTGCATCGAGCGGAACTTTCCGTGGGCAGCTGGATGGTGAGTTCGTCGGCTGCCTGACGCGTTGTTTTTACAGAGATTTCCAAGAAATTCCGGGACTCGTTGCGTGAACTGATCCCGGGCATCTTGGATGGTCAGAAGTTGGTGGTGAAGGAAGTCAATGGGCACGCGGTGACTTGCCGCGAGTTGTTCCAACTCTTCAAGAGTTACATGGAGATCTTCCAAAGCGACACGCTGCCGATGGCCACGACAATGCTAGAGGTAATTTTTGGGAAGAACTTGTACTCGGCCAGTAGCTTGTGCGTGCGTGAATGCCAGATATAGCTTTTTGACTTTTTAGGCCACATCCAAGGCGAACAATTTATGCGCCGTGGAAGCGGCGCGTAATTGCTACAACGAGAGCATGGAATTGGTGGGCCCTGGCTCTTTATTGATCCTTCTTGGCGCGAGTTCTACCCACTCATCGACATTTTTCAGGTTTGCCGTCCAGGCAGTCCCTTCATCCAGTCGTCAGATCTGAATACACTTCATGACAGCTGCAAACGGAAGGCCGTCCAGAAATTCCGGTACCGCTTGCCCCGGTATTATTTTAATCAAACTTTATTCAGGAATACCCCAAAAATGGGTGGTGCCGAATATGGTCTGCCATTCCTTGAAGAGCTCGTGACGCACATTGACGTGCGCTTATCGTTCGAGATTTTTATTAACCCTCTTTTAGAAGCACTATGCTACCCTAAGACAAATAAATGATGCCAAAAAAGTCACGATTGGCATGCTTTTCATGGAGGCACTTTCGGCGTTTCTCACAAAATGTAGCTTTTTTTTGTAAGACCTGGTCAATTACGCGGTTTAGGGCGGCCGTATATTCTACTACTCATGGCCGTCGTTGTTGTAGTATTAGCTGTCCTAATCTTGCCGGGTTTCGGGCTAATCATTGCCCCGATACTTTTGATTGGAGAAGCCTCAGCCATCTACATTTTATTTTTTGGTTTATTACTTGTCGTCTTTCGTCTGGGACAGTATTATGCTCTTCGATCAGTAAAGGTGAGCTCCGCGTTTCATGGAAGTTGATTTTTTTTGCAGTTGAGGGCTGATGGCTGCGCGAAATTGAAGTGAAAAACGCGGTGCGCTTCTTCAGGCCTGGACAAGAAAATCAATGCTTGAATCGATTGATCGCTTTTCTCATCTAATTATCTCTACACGGTACCCACCAAATCTTGGAGCATTTTTTGATTTAAGCAATTTTTGAGCTTTTCCTATTTCGAGATCCAGTGTTGATTGTGTTGCCAGTTTATTCGCTTCTTAAGCTCTTCACGCCCGCTTTGCTTCGCCTTGTGCCTGCATGAACCGATCGCAATAAAAGTATCTTATAGAATGTGACGTAAACATATTATCTTCTTGGTTTCATCTCGTTTACCGTCACGCTTTCCTTGTACCTAGTATTTCGGCTTTTTCACTCATTCTATCGAAAATTTTGCTTAAAGGGACAGCACGGGCATGCAGTACGCGCGGTCCCTACGTCCATAGGGTGTACACGTTGGGACGAGTACACGGCCCCTCCCTGAACGTGTACATATTTGCCCAAAGTTCCCTGTGAAGTTTGATCAAAAACATGCTTAACAAAAAGGGCGTCGCAAATGGATCTCAAAGGTCCAAACCTAGCGATACCACCCAATGGCTGTAGTTCTGTTTTCTGGTTAGACAACTAGGATTTTTGTCATTTCAAAATCGCTAATTGGGATGTGCGTATTTCAGAGAACACGGCTTTGGCTGCCGCTGAAGGCTTTTTACGCGAGCTTGAACATGTGGACGGGGGCCTGCTGTGCTCTGGTTGCGGCAGTGGATGCACCCCTTCAGATTTGGTCAGTCCAAATAGTGACGTTGCATGCAACTAGCAAGGCGGCGTCCTTTAGTGTCGTCAGAGTTTAAAGCTTCAAGTCATCGAACCGTGTTTTCTCTTCGACCAAGTTATCCGATTTCGATCATTTCTAGGCCGGGTTTCTTACTGCCGTTGCACTGGCAATTACATATGAAGCGCTAAAGGTTATGTACTTGGATGCGCCACGACTCGATCCGGGCACGATCGAGATGCTGCCATGGCTACAGGTATCATTAGCGTTCATAATTGAGATGATAATTGGTTTTAAGACGTTCTGGATTATTCTCGCGGTGATAGCCATGATTTGCGGATCCATCGTTCTTTCCACGCGGCGCCGTGTTTTCCTCAACATCGTTTGCACCTGTTTTGTTGGTTTCAAACGACGTTTCGCTTTTTTTGCTTAAAATACCGTAAGACTCAAGTTTTAGGCGATAATGACATTCCTCGACCTTGCCTCCAACTGGTATCGCTTCAAGAACCAGCGCGGAATCAACCCAGAATATGCTGCAACGATCAGGGATTACCAGACGAAACTAGTGTTGCAATGGATAGGTAGGAATAATTTGTGAAGTGAGTGGTTGTCAGGACTTGTGACATACTGGATCATCAGCATCGGCATGTTCTTTACCTTCTCCACGCTGTTTTATAGCTATCAAAAAGAACTACGGTAGGCCATTTTATATACGTAAAATGTGTAACACGTAACAATTTCCGTTTTCCTTCAAAATGTCAAAAATCATAATGCCGAAATTTACATAAGCTAATTTTCCCGGAAAACCCCCCGATCCTATGCAAAAAAAATCCCGAGACTTTCGACATTACGAAATTGCGACATTATGAATTTTAACAATAGGATAGCGAATTCATCAGCAGAAAAATGCTGAACTACTACGAAAGCTTTCCCAAATTTTAAATTTTGTCAAGCATCCTCTCCTATCCTATCGCAAAGAAAACAAATTTCAGAGCTGAAGAAAAGGCAAAGCGCGCCCCGGAGACTTCTGAGGTGAGCAGCTTTTCCAATATCTTGAGCCGTTTTGAAACAGTCTGTCAATATTTTTTAAAGCAGCAATCATCAGTTTTAGAGCTTAAGAGCCTATTTCCCCGTGCCGCTATATAAAAATTATTCGAGCAATATTTTTAGAGCGATCGATTCGTCCAGAGATCCCTCTCAATGGCTGCGATATATGAGACTGTGAAGCTGTGGGTGTTGTATCCGCCGACCTTGGAAAGCGAGACTCTGCAGTGGCTACAGGTAAAAGTCGGCGTCTCAGCAAAATAATAAAAATTATATAAAAAATTATAGCCATTTTAAGATAGTTTTTGAGCCGCGAGAAGACTCATTTGTCACGATAGCCAAATTCTTTTATCGCAATCTATTCTTTTTAGTTTATCTTGTATAGTTGATTTTTATACTAATTCAAATGGCATTCGAATTGTGCGCTCCTGCCTACCGACAATCACTGACGGGGGTGTGAAATAGGCTGTTTTTCATCATTTCCCATATAAAAACTTGTCCATACATCGCTTTTCGATTTTAAATTAAACAATTTGAGTTAGAAGCTCTTTTTATAGAAATTTTTTGAAACCGTTGGTTATATTTGTTTTTGTTAAATCAGCCCGGAAAGGCAAAATAAATGACTTTGAAGTTCGCAAATTTTGAAACGCTATGACTTTCTAAAATGATCTTTTTAGCAGTAGCCCTGTGAAAGTGAGACCTCGTTTCTATGACCAAGAAATGTGTCGATTAGTGACAGCAAGTTTATTATGTTGTTTCAGATAATTTGGCACGCTGGCGCGGCTGTCACCATCATTTTCGGGATCATGGCCGTTTTGACGAAGCGTCGGCTTATGATTATATTTTCGTGGACTTGCTTTGTCAGTTTCGGAGTCAACTTTTGCAACATGTTTACATGAGTACACCACAATTTGTACACAAATTTCCTTCTCGAACGAAACACTTTCAGGTCCTAATTTTTTTCATCGAGCTGTGGTCTTTTCTTGTACACTTCGACAATCTGGGCAAACCGACAGGTAAAACATTTTTCAGGGATCATGATTCTCTTTCCGCCTAGGTTCCCTCGTATTCGGAGCCTTCAGTGGAGCGGTATTGGCCTGCTTCATTTATACTTACTCGACATACGCCGGGTACCTTCGGTAGGTGCTGCCGGAAAGAACGCTCACGACCGTAGAATTCTTACAGACCAAAAAAGAACCAGAAATTGAGTTTAGAAAAGAAGAAACTGCAAGACAGGAGCGAAGGGAGAGGCTCGAACTCCTATTGGCGGAGCCTCAACCCGCTGCAGAAACACAAACTCAAACAATTTCCCGTTGTAGCTCTGATTCTTCTTCCAGCCAGCAATAAAGCGATTTGACTTGGTCGATGGTGAATTTGTAGTTTGACAGAATTCGTTCGTTTAATTAGGAGTACTTTTCGCGGTTGTGAAGAAAAAGATCTTTCGTTGATAGAGATCTTTATACTGTACACGTACATATCACTGCTTTGTACAATTTTTAACAAATTACAGTCAATGGCGGTTGGCTAGCAGAATAGCGTTAATACACATCCATTCCGAGCCAGTTTCCCGTTATGCAAATGTAGGTCTTCTCGGGTGGCCATCCATTCCACAATTTCACTGCGGAAGACGTCCGGGCAGAAGTTTACGGTAATACTAAAAAATGTAATTTCAGCGCTTTTCATGGTATTAATTGAATTTAATGACTTCTTAGAGGTGCCAAAAATACGTTTAAAAATAATTAAAAACAGTAAAACCTAAAATAAAATTACCTTAAATCACATTTCGGCTTTTTCGACCAGGCCACGATTAATTTAGACAGAGCTGCTGAAGAAATCCGACAGGATGAAAGATCCAAAGTTTCTAGACGATGCCCACGAGCGAAATTTCTAAAAAAATAGATTTTTCTTGATTTTTAAAGTTCCATACCTTGTCAAATGGCCAAGGGTTACGTCGGTAATATTATGCTGCCCACTTTTTGCGTCATTCCACACTCGGAGGGATTGAATTTGATGGACGATTGGGAAGATTAGACGATCTAAAATCTTAATAATCCAATTTTAATTTTATTTTATAAAGGCATGCTTTTTATCGTCCTATTTAGCTTCTAATTACGACATAACTTCCAGGGAAAAACTGTTAGAGGACTGTATAAATCAATCTTCTCATTTTTCCGGCTTTTTAGGCCAACCTGTTTATCGGGATCTTAACCTTAATTTTTTCTTTTTACTTCAGAACTAACCCGACAAAAACGCCGTCGGACTACATTCTTCAAACCCGATATCGGTCAACGTCTCGGCATTGCAGATAATCAATTCTTCCAGCTAAACGATGTTTTTGCGTTTTCTGATAGCAGAAATTACCAGTGCAATGCTCTCCTGCGAGAATTTGCTCCAAATAAAATAGATCTGCTGTGGGCGGAGGGATAGCTGACAGAGACTCTTGAGGACAGGAATCGCCTCGATCGGGATCAGGCCACGGACAAATAGGGAGAGCGTCGAAAGGTGACGGAGCAGGATGGCCAAGCGCTAAAATATGAATATTTTGAGCAAATCCAAGTCTGCGTAATTTTCTAGTCCACAAGCATTTTATACTAGCCGTAACGTAGACTTCATTCCGCAAATGATCTCGGCTAGCCTATCTAGCCTTTCTCCTTCGCTCTCTCTCTCGCTCTCTCTCTCTGTGTCTCTCTCGCTCTCTTCCTTACCTGTAAATTCGGCATAGGATATCTGGTGGGCGTATTCCTCGAATCAAGCGGATAGATCACAATCTCACCCTCATCAAATAGAATTCGAATCTGAAAACCAACTCATAATTTCTGGTCTGCTGGCTTTCCGGTCCTTTCAAAGCTCAAAATCCTCAGAAACGATAAAAATACCTGATCCTTGAGCACTTTCGGCATGTCATCATTGTGTTTCTCAATCACTTTTCTCCATCTTTTACACACTGCCTCACAATGGGCAATATCGACACCGTCGAGGTTGGAAAAGACGTTCAGCAGGAGTTTACTTGTCAGTTTCTAAAATTTTGAATTTATAGTTGCAAAACTTTCAAAAAATAAATTTTACAAACAAATTATTTTAAAAGTTCTATATTTGCTATTTGACGAAATTATTAGCATTTTTTGCTTCGGCATTACCTAGGGAATATTTTTAAATTGTTAAATCTCTTACATGAATAGCTGGCGGTGGTATTTTTGCGGACTTCCTTCGAGCCGCCATCCTCGCCTCCACGTTATTATTATCGGGCTTTTCGAAAAATCTGGAGATTCATGGATATTTGTTCGTCACAAAAAAAAATTAAATAACCTGGCCAGAAACGGGAAGCATGTCTGGAATAAAAGAAACGCCAAGGCGAATAGCTTGTCGAATAAATGGCTCCAGAGTTGCCTAAAAATGTTTGGCGACGTATTAGTTTTCTTCGATTACGGTATGTCATTCTCGTTGTGGTCTTTGTGCAGTTTAAGGCTCAAATTCCACCGTTAGACAAATTAAAAATTGGGTTGTCTTGGATTTTGTTTAGTTTAGTTTTTAGTTTTTCATTGAATTTTTTAACTTTCGCGTTGCAAAAGGGGTTTTAACTTTTTATTCTATTAAAAATGGCGTTTATAAAGCGTCAATTTATTTTATTTGGTGCTTTATTTTAGATAAATGATTCTTTCCACACTGATTGTATTTTCTAACGTTAATAAACATTTTAACCAAATGAACAAGATGGTTGTTTTTCGAGATTTTTAATTTAGGCTAAAAATTCGTTTAAAAAATTTTTACTCCAAGAAATATAGTTTTCTTATAAAAGCATCAAAATGACAGGCTGGCGGAGAGAACAATTACTCGCTTCGACTACCCAAAATTCCATAGTCCTCCTAAATAGCGGAAATGAGGGGGCGGGGGATGCGCTCCCTTTCCAGTCAACCCCCCTTCTACCCATAAAAACAACCCACAATTGAGTAGCCCTTCCGTGAGGTTTGTGTTTTGCTCTTTTAGATAATTAGCCTTGAGGCTACAAAAGTAAACAATATCTCTTTTATGGAAAATCAAATTCTTGAAAGATTTTTAAGTTTTAAAAATCCAAAAATCGCGATCCTCACGGAAAATGAAACTGAAAACTTTAAAAACTGACTATCTGCCGAATTTCAGATATCACGTTCGAAAATGGATCTAAAAAGTGAGAATGTTGCGTAAAATAAGCGTACCTCCTCTGCTGCACTTCCAGCTTTTCGGGTATGATATTCAGGTCGAAAATCGAGAGACGGCCGCTGTCATACGCCTAAAACATAGATATCTTAAGGGAAACTCTATCCGAAACGGTAACTTTAGCTACTTCTTTCCTCTATTTTGTCAAGAATAAGCATAATTTCCTTATTTTAAGCGCTTTTAATTTAAATAAACTATTTTATTTAGGCTCACAATCATAAACGGTAGAAAAAATACCTTCAAATGACCTCCAACCACCCTTTTTCTTCCGCCGTGAGCAGCTACTGTCACGCTGATCATTTCTCGAGCGCTACTGGCTGACAGCTAGCAGAGATCCTTAAAATGATGGTCTTAAAACACATAAATAACCGACCGGAGTCGAAAAACCAGGAAAAACATCCATTTTCCAAGTTAAACCACCAAATCGAAGCCTGGAAAGTTATAAATACCGCAAAATGTTGTGTGGAAAGGTGTAGGGATCGAGTTGAAATATGAGAGAATTGGATTGAGTGGATGGAAGACAGAATAGAGAGAAAAAGAAAGAGGAAGAGAAAAAGAGTAGGGGAAAAGCTTTAGGGCCCAACTGGGAATCGATTGCGGGCTTTTGTGGAAAGAAAGAGAGAGAGAGGCAGGGAGGAGGGCCCTCTTTTGAATAGAAAAGGAGCATGAGAGGGGTGAGGGTTGGGGAGAGGAGGAGGAGGAGCCGGAGGGCATGAGAAAGAGCCGCAGGCACAGATAGAACAAAGAAATTAAACGAAGCAAAACGACATATTTTTAGCAAGGGTTGTACAAATAGATACAAATGGATCAAAAATTCCGCAAAATCCGTTATTGAGGACGAAAAAGTGGTGCAAAATTGAGGCTCTTATACCCCAAGATGGGTTAAACAATACATTAAAGCTCCGAAAAGCCAAGTGTAACGGAACTAAAAAACTCAGGTCACTAAAGCCGCGACCGGCTTCCTAATTTTTAAGTTTTGGGTTTTTGAAGAAGCTCTTTTCCAACCAAAAACCAATCGGCTTGATTTATTGTCATCATGTCTGGCAATTTGACCTTCCGGAAACGAGATGTTTTTTTGCTTCTACGCTCCTTGAATTTCGTTTAAAGCTTACGGGCGACAGCTCCAAGATGTCATAAAATCGCCAATTTTGCAATTTATGCTATTCAAGCCGCCAGCCTCCTAAATTTCCATTCCCTGACGAATTCTGACTAACAACGAGGATTCCGCTTTTCGTTCCATGCCAATTTAGGGGTCCTCCTAGAGCTCAAGACAGGAAGTGTTCATTCTTCTTCACAGCTTTCTCTCTCTCACTCTCTCTCTCCCTCTCTCTCTCTCTCTCACACTCTCTCTCTCTCTCTCCTGAAAGGGATATCTTGAAGATGTCTCGAATTGAAGAGAATTCGTTCTGACTCCTTCTCCTCGTCCCTTCTTTATCCTCTTCTTCTGCCTAGGTTGAGTGACTCAAAATTGGATTCCCTTTCTTTCCTCTTTACGGGGGGTGGGTGGAGAAGAGACACTCAATCAACGGATTTTCGATGCCGTATGGGACCTTCGGCCCCGTACAATCTCTTTAGCGGCCAATTTAAGGGGGTAACGGTGGTACCTGGAACGCTGGAACGGCAAATGAACACTGCTAGCTTGCCATAGCCCATTTTAGGCGTATTTTAGTGGCAGGAATAAATAGTTCTATCAGAATTCCCCCATTTCTTCCTACCCCCTTAAAAACATTAGAAATCGAGTTCGCGTGGTTTTTTGCATTTTCTGGTTTTCCGACCTTGAGACCTGAGGTTGACATGGCAGATTCGTGCCTTCCGCGCATCTTCTAAACTGAAAATAGGCCAGAATCCGTTCGAGTTGCGCTCAAAGAATCTTTGCTAGCTTGCCCTCAATAATCATGCTTTCCTGCGCATATGAAGTGCGAATTTCCTAGTTTTAGATATGGATTTTTGCCTTGGCGGTTCCTTTGAGGCAAATTTCGAGGCGCTGGAAGCATACCGGTCTCTTTAAATTTTAAATTCTGTAGTTATTATCCTTTTTTGCCTTTAGCGTTGCTTGAAAACATAAATATCGATTCTTTAGAGAATCTCGGCAAATTCACCCTACCAGGCCCCTTCAAACCCCGAAATTTACTGAGAGTATCCCAAATGATCCCTGCAAGCTTACCCTACCCGAGCTCTAGGTGGTGATTAGGTAGTACTATTTCCAGCCGTGCCGGTCCCTTTAAATATCCGTGAATTGGTGGTTCCACCCTGCTAGGGTCTCGGCACTCTTTCATATTACATCCCTCGCTCTCTTTCTCTCTATTTGGCACCCTCCAATCCATTCTTCTTCTTCTTCTTCTTCTCCTTTTCGGGTCCTTCGTCTCGAAAATTGTGTGTTTGGGGCCCCGACTGGACTGGTGGTTCGTAAATTGGGGCCAGGTGTACACCCTCTCTCTCTCTCTCTCTCTCTCTCTCTCTCTCTCTCTCTCTCACGCTTTGGGTAACCATGGAATAGAGGGTGGAACGGGTGATTCTGGAATGCATGGAACATTGTGAAGGGGTGTGGACCGGAAGGTGGAGAAGCTTTGTGTTCACTGACTTCCAGCGTGAATTGGTGAACTAGCAGAGACTACTATGGAGAGGAAACTGGCGGAAAAGCTTCGGAAATCGAAAAAGTTGTGCTTTTATTGAAAATTTCGCAAAAATCGCTGCGAGCTTGCTGGAGACTGAGCCCCCAGTTGCCGCAGAATCTTTTCCCAAAATGGCCTCCGCTGGCTTGCCTGCCAGCTAAGCTAAAGTGAGTTCCCCAAGCCTGTCTGCTAACCTGCCACTCAGTTAAGCCATTGTGATTTCCAAAAGGTTCTTTACTGGCTTGTTCGAGAGCTGGGTACCTACATTTGCCCGAAAAGCCCAGCTAGCGACCGTATAGTCATTTTTTTCGGCATTTTTCTAGTTTCCTCTGCCAGGTTGCCCGCCAGTTTGCTTTGTCCCGTTCCCCAAGAATCCCTGCTTGCCTGCCCCATTGCTTGAGAATTTCGAATTCCTTGAAAATCTTTGCTAGCTTGCCATAGCCCGAACAGGCCAACAGTAACTTCCACATAACCATCTGCCAGTTGCTTTCAAAGCATTTTTGTGTAAGTTTTCTAAAAACCTCTGCTTACCTGCTTGCCAGTTTACTTATTCCGGTTCCCTAAGAATTCCTGCCAGCCTGCCCCAAATGTCAAAGCTTGGAAATTGCATTATGACGCCACTAGCTTGCTTAGATATCGGCTATTTTGCTTTCCATGGTATAAAGTGAATCCAGCTTCCCCAGGGATCCCTGCTAGCCTGCCCTGCCCATTGTCCCTACCCCCTGAATGGGTATGCAGCCAGCTGGCTTGCCTGGGTGGAGAGAAGAAGATTTCTGGGTACCCTCCCTCACCCCGGGGCTGAAGCTTCGAGAAGAACAAGAAGAAGAGAAGCGAAGAGAAGAAGAGAGGAGGTGTCGACGGGAGTCTACCCAACGAGAGAGTAGAGAGAAGAGAGAGAGGCTAGAGAGTGGAGAGAGAGGAAGAGAAGATCGATGGAATGGAGGGAAGGGAAGGGACGGGAGGGCCCACCACAGCCTTCAGGTTAGCACCCCATCCCTCAGCCAGTGTGTGTGTGTCCATACATAGCACACAACACAACACATACCACCCGAGGGCATGGCATTCCGTTTAATTACAGTTTACGTTGTTTAAAAGATTACCGTCGCTCATTCTGGCATCCAGTTAAGCTTAGAGCCTTGGCTGCTAGTCATTTAAAAGCTTCGTATTTCTGGATGTGCCGACCCCTTCGAAGTTCGTCGGACTTCCGGTCTGAACGCTCGTTCCGCTTAATGAATATTTATGTTGATTAAAAGATTATCTTTGCTTTATCTGACATCCAGTTAAACTTATAAGCATGAATTATAAGCATTTCAAACCCTATTTGCCAGATTATACTGACTTCCGGTCAAGGGGCTCGTTCCGTTCCATTAGTTATACAGTCCGCGTCATAATGATAGGTTCACCCCATTTTAGGACAGCTTGTTAATCTAGAATAAGTTTCGGATAAAACGGGCGTTGTAATCAGTTAGGGCACAGCTCAAAACCTTCCAGGCCAGGATCCATTTGGTTAGAAAAGGCTTCTAGATTTCGAAGGAATTTTATCTCAAAAAAAGGCTTGCGTCATAAAGATAGGTTCACCCCGAATTTTTCCGCAAAAATCATACATTCGGATCTTGCTTGTATTTTTAATTAAGTACCATTGAAGTATACATGAGTTTCCTATACTTGGTTTGACTCGAGAGGTTTCAGGGAATTTTTTGCAAAAGTCGATTTTAACAAAGAAATCACACTTTTTTAGGATTATCCGGCGATACTCGTTTTCAATTTTTAGTATGTAGGCGATCTCGAAAGTGCACTTAATGACGAGCATTTTGGTATATAAACGGCTATAGGAACTAAGGTGTTCACGAAGATACAGGTCTAGAAACATCGAACCTACTGGGGCCCATACTAAATGGCCGCCAATCCTTACTTGCGCAGTCCATCCCAACTTTCTTCGTGTGTGTCACCCCAATATCGCCGAAGCCAAAGACGTTGTTATATACCAAAATGCTTGTCTTGAGCTACTCTTTCAAGTCCATAGAAGGAACTTGCACTTCCGGTTAAATCCAGCCCGTATTGCCACAAAAATAGTAATTTCTTTGTTAAAATCGACTTTTGCAAAAAATTCCCTGAAACCTTTCGAGTCAAACCAAATATAGGAAACTCATGTATACTTCAATGGTACTTAATTAAAAATACAAGCAAGATCCGAATGTATGATTTTTGCGGAAAAATTCGGGGTGAACCTATCTTTATGACGCGGGTCCCAGTAAGCCTTTTTTTGAGATAAAATTCCTTCGAAATCCAGAAGCCTTTTCTAACCAAATGGATCCTGGCCTGGAAGGTTTTGAGCTGTGCCCTAACTGATTACAACGCCCGTTTTATCCGAAACTTATTCTAGATTAACAAGCTGTCCTAAAATGGGGTGAACCTATCATTATGACGCGGACTGTATACATTACTAGTTACGTAGGTTAATTTGTTCTTCCTTCAATCGTCAATCAAATATATTCGTCTATTCTGGCACCCAGGAAGCTGAAAGTTCAATCGGATGAACATTAGGACACACACTTGCAAATGCAGGTTCATTGAGAATACAGGGTGTCCCAAAAAAAATCGACCCCCTCTAGCGGACCGCAGAAAGCTCGGATCGGAATGATTTTCACACCATTCGAAAGCCCTTCAAACAGTGAGAAAACAAGCGCC